AGGGTAAGTACGACCCCCATCCTTCCAGCGATCAAACTGCCCCCATCGCTGGAGATCTTCAATGTACGACGCGGACTGCTCACAGGAACAGCGGATCCCGTGACGGGGCAGGAATAATGCTGAGGGTTTTTTTAGGTTTTTCAATTAGTTCAGTCACGTACCTGTCCACCAAGAAATGTATTCTGAATCGGTGTTTTCCGGTGAACGCCTCAATGACGACACCGACCACTTGCGTTTCGTTTGGTTCAATGAGAATTAGATCGAATCCGTTCTCATGTACGGCTATCCCTTGTTCATGGCATGGTTTTGCAGGATCGTAGCTGGCGATGATACGATCTCCAATCTTCCATTTGATCTAGGAATGTAACTGCCAAGAGTATCGTGAAGTTGAATGAATTTAAATGATCTTACCGATTTCAAGCTTTCCATGTCCAATCCATCCAATCGCAGGCGATAGCTCACGTTTGGTTCAAATCTAAACTGCTTTACAAATTGAATTACTTTGTCGCTACATTTAAGCTTGACTGAACCGCAAACTACGCGCTACTACGATAGAATTTTGTCATGGAGCATTTCTGTTTGAAAACTAAATGTTTTAACATAACTCCACAGTCTTCTTTGCTGCAGGTGATGAGGGAGGAGGGAGGTGTTAAGGTAGGAATGGTTTGACGCGGCAAAACCTATTTTTCCTTCCCGGTAAGCGACAACTCTGAACCATACAGTTCGTTTCAGTGGTCTTCTACCATTTGTAGTGGCCTACTAGCTTTAACAGGTGGTGGGAATGGGATGGCGATGCGCCAAACCAGCTTCACTGACACTCCAGTTCATACTAAATTATAAGATCAGGGAATCAGGGTGCACCGCAGCAAATAAGGCTGGACTTATTGATTTAGATTAAGAACTGACAACCAGCCTTAAGATGAAGATTAGTTCAATTACCTGAACGAAGCACTGCTCTCAATGACTGATAAGGCCACCATAGGTGTTTCCGCGCAAGGATCCACCGGTACAAGCTCCTCGACGGATGGCGGTGGCTGTAATGTCGAAGGCATGATTTTACAATTCTGCACCTTTTTAAGGTAGCTCTTCTTTCGCTTTCTTTCAGAACTCTTAGCTCGTTGAGCATCGCTATGGGCAGACCCATCATTTCCAAGGTTCCTCTGCTTTTGTCACATTCGCACGCTGCTACTTTTCGGGAGACCCGCGCGCTATACGGTGCAGAGACGGTGGCGGTGACCATCACGAGCGCGCAGGTGTCGCGATGATTTAATCAGATCCAACGCTGAATCTGCTTGTGAGGACAAGTTCACTGAGAGAATGAGCGACGTGCTAGACATCTTCATGCGGTACAGCGGTAGTCCTTGTTTAGTTTGGCATGGTACCTAGTATAAAATCACCGTTAGACCAGGTGACACTATTTTTAGAAAGCGTTTTGTGGGTGCTGTGAGACTTAGGGTTAGTCTAACCCTTTTATGTCGAATAACTCTTTGGTTCAAGTAATATAGGAGAGAGCACAAGACTTTATCCGGCGAACGCAGAACCAAGAGTGGCAACCATATGCATATGTCTGCTTGCTTTACTTCAACTCTGCCCGCGCCAGAAGGCTGAGGTAGAGGGGCATCATCGGCGACGATGAGCACCAGACTTTTGTGGGTGCTATGAGACTCAAGGTTAATTTACCCCTTTTACGCCGAATAACTCTGCGGTTCAGTGGATTGTTATAAGAGAGAGTGAGAGAGAGCACAAGACCTATCTGGCTAACGCAAAACGAAGAGTGCCCAGCAATCTCAAAAACGTCTGTTTTCCTTTGCACAACTCAGCCCTGCCCCCTAAAGTTGGGGTCGAGGGACACGAATACACATTTGAAGTTGTTGGCGATTGAAGTTTTTGGCGTTGTTGGCGACTGACGTTGTTGGCGACTGAGGTTGTTGGCGTTGTTGGCCATCAGAAACGATGCCGTTTCTGTGGCGGCTGCTGCGGCTGTCTGCGATGGTGACAGAGTAGCAAGTTGTGGTCAAGACCACAACTGCTACACTTCACCACGCTTTTGTCTTGATGCCCTGTTTTCAGGCATCTAAGAGACAGCCAGAGACAGCTGCAGTTTGGCCGCTTGGGCTGTGCGAGATACCGGATCTGGGAATCGGTTGCATCCACTAGTGTAGCCATGTCAGGCCATGTCAAGGTGATACTGTTTACTGTTCTAGGCCGTGAAAGGGAGCTCAAAAGAAGAGCTGAGTGCTTCTCGCTCCGCAGAGTTGGGAGCCAAATTCAGCTGAGCGTCGTTTGGCTCAGACGGGGAGACGAAGTAGGAGCTTTGTGCGCTTTTTGCCAGTTCCTTTTACTAGCTCATGTCAAGCAACAGTTCTCATTTTGGTATAAGTGTGAATCCTTGTGAAACTGCGAAATAGTAAAAGTAAACCACTTTGGTTACACGACTTGGCAGCTCTTCATGAGGTGACCTGTTTGTGCTTCCCCTAAGGTAAGCATTATTTGGCGCCTCAGATCGAATACGAACAGCCCTCAAAAGGTCACCATCAGCGACGATATTGTGCACCGACAGGCGCCAAAAGGAGCAGCTTCTCTTTGTTGGGCTTCCGGCACAATTTGCTCTTGCGATGAAGGCCAAAGGAACCGGTTTTTTGAATGAATGCGTCCAGTGAGATTATATTGCTCACAACGACAGCCTGAAATATTTGTGAAATGTTTTAGCGATGTCCTAAACGGAGATAACTGACCTTGAGTGCTGCGTCCCATAGGTGCTTCTTAATCGTTCTGTTCGATGAATTGGGATGAAGATGGTTTGCTTCTTCTGCCGATAGGGTTGAACAAGCGAAGGATTCGAGTAAGCTCTTTAGCAACCTCACTATTTGGCAGAATCAGCTAGAATGTGCACTAGAAGAAAAGTGATCCTACAAGAGAGCTCTTGCCTTTTTTTCGTGGAAAAAAATGGAAAACAGAAGATGTAATAAGCTTGAACCTTGAGCGGATTTAAACTGCGATTATAAAAACTCTGGAGGAAGAGTCGGACTGGTTGACTCAACCTGATCATAAGAACCCACCATGAATCCTTTCGCATGATTCCCCAATCGTGAGTGCTAGGTGGGGATGCCGCTTTTTGTCTCTCACTTTCGCGGTAATAGATCTACAGGGGGGGGGTGTGGGCAAAAAAACACACTGTGGTAGATTCACATATCAGTAAAGTTTACGCAGCCCAGACACAAGACGTGGATACGAGTACCAGGGAAGATACCCAAGATGTTCCTCGATAAGCAGGAGCAGGCTCTCGTCCATCACCTTCATGTACACCAAAATATGAAGCCATCTCCAATCGCAGCCGGACTGGAGAAGGCCTATGGAATTCACGTCACCTCCAAACAGCTGCGGAACTTCTTGTATCGAGTCACCCATGAACACCTGGAGACTAGCACTCTTGAAGCGGAGAGTCTCCTCGAGCAGCAACGACAACGTCGCTACGGTCCAGGATATCATCTCCACTGCAGTCGCTAAGGCGCGGGTTGATCGTTTGGACCGGAAGCTCCTGGAAAAGACCGTTACGTTATTTATAGACGTTATTTTCTTCGTAGTTCCCAGACTGAAAGTGAACGCTGACGGTTACATCGACCAACTCGAGGAGAATATCCTGCCTTCATGTCGTCGCCTGTACCATCTTGGAAACTTTGTACTGCTACAGGATTGGGTGCACCACATGGAATCGAAAGGCGTTGGAAAACTCTCGCCTACTTGGAATGGAAGGGCGTTGAGTACCTGAAGAAGATGGAATATCTAAGTGGGTCACCTGACTGAACCCCTCGATTACCTGGTTTGGGCGGAGCTCAACAGGGTGGTCTAAAGGCGGAGAAATCAACGATCTCGCTGAACTCAGGCACCGAATCACGGTCGCGTGGCAGAATCTCTCGATGGCGCTCGTCCAGAAGGCTGTGGCGGAGTATCATGATAGTGTACAATGTGCTGTTGAATATGGTGTGGAAATGTCCAATCAAATTTGATAAAGTGTTAACTTATATCGCTTTGAAAGTCGAGGAAGGAGAGTCGAGGAAGGAGAATGTCGTTTCGATTTCCTGGTTTCTGTTTATAAACCAGATCGGCTTCTGCGTGAAATTGTAGATGATGGGATTCAGACATGAATTTTAAGGGGGCTACTTGACCGATCAGTCGAGATTCGAAAAGAGAAGCTGTCGTAAACGCCCAGCATGGTCGAATGTTTAGCTTTAATTTTCAGAATAGAGACACAGAGACGTTTCGTGCTTGGGCGAAAGACTAGCCAACCATGGGCAGAGAATCATCTAGCAGTAGCTCGGGAAAAGAGTGAGAAAACCGATCAAAACGACACACGGTACACGTCTATACGTTTATCGGTACTTATTCCAGGCATGGTTGCATTTGAGGTAGAATGCAGTGGCAAGTGCACGGTCCGCAGTCAAGTCCTGAATCGACTCCCTAAGGCTGCGTTTATACTTTGCGGCAGCGTAGTAGCGTAGCGCTTCCAGCGTACGCCAGCGGCAGTGCCGGGGAGAGGATGCATATCGATCTAGCGTTCCCAGCGTCACCAGCGTCAGCTAGGGATAGACGAAATGTCGGTGTGAGTACGACCCCCCCTCTGAATGGTCCCGCGCACGACCCCCCCCCCCCCCTTTTTCCCCCCCGGTTGGTACGACCCCCGCTCAGCTCGACGCGCTCTTTCGCCGACTGACGAGCGCGTCGAGTATGCTAGGGGGGGGGAGGGTGTAAATAACAATAACTATGCATACGTATATCCGGCGGTAAATCGCTGTAAGGCTGCGTTTATACTTTGCGGCAGCGTAGCGTAGCCTTCCAGCGTACGCCAGCGGCAGTGCTGGGGAGAGGATGCATATCGATCTAGCGCTCCCAGCGTAACGCTAACGTACGCCAGCGTTTCTCCAGCGTTTCACCGGCGTTTTGCTGGCGTTTGCAGCGGCAGGGGAGTAGAGACTATGTGGCCGTAAGAGACGCGCAATCGATGTGTATTGTAGAGACTATGTGGCCGTCAGAGACGCGCAATCGATGTGTATAGTAGAGACTGAGGGCGAGTGAGAGACGCGCAATCGATGTGTTTTGTACCCTCCAGCTCTCAGTCTCTACTCCCCTGCCGCTGCAAACGCTAGCAAAACGCTGGTGAAACGCTGGAGAAACGCTGGCGTACGCTAGCGTGACGCTGGGAACGCTAGATCGATATGCATCCTCTCCCCGGCACTGCCGCTGGCGTACGCTGGAAGCGCTACGCTACGCTGCCGCAAAGTATAAACGCAGCCTAACCGAGCTTTCTCCCATCGGGAGACAGTAAATTGGTGTCGATTAGTCCGGAAGGATAAAAAAACACTGATGTGTACATCTTGTCGAACCCGCAAGTCATCGTATAGGCCATATCGCATCGTATACGCCTTATTTTCAATGGAAGTCTGCACGGAAGCTATCTTTCTTCCAAAAGAAAAAAAGAACTTGGGATGAGTGTTTTTTTTGGAAAAAGAATCGCAGAAGAACTCCAGGCGGATCTAGCCCATTTTTGTAAACTTTAGTCATTGTATGAAAGATGCTCGCAATGCAGCATTGCAATGGTTTTTCTGATACGATTATGTTCTCCTCACTTCTCTATTAAAATCCAGTAGCATGACTGAGAGACGGCCTTCTCTTGTTCTGTAGGAGTCAACTTCGTTACTGAAATGTCTAAGAGTGATCAAACGCGTAAAGCAGGATAATAGTGTAGATAGTGGTACTCAGAAACGGCAGCAGGGATGCTTAGCAGGGGGACAATGACGAAAAAATGAAGTGAAACTGTCAAAAACCTGAGGAAGATCTCTTATGCAGAACGTTGGACGAGTACATGACTTAATGAAAATGCGATTTTAGAAGTTTAGAAGTTTTTAGAAGTTTTAGATTTTAGAAGTTTTAGAAGAAGAAGGCATCATACCAATAACCACTTCGGTAGATGTGGGTGCTTGCGTAGTGCTTATCACTGCAAAGCAAAAGTGCTCGTCAGAAGGCGTGCGATGAGCACTCTCGCAATAGTGATTTTGACCAATAGTTGGTGGTCCAGGTCGGGAACCCTTGGTAGAAAACCAAGCCTCGGGTGGACTCAGAGTCCACGTCTACTGACATGCGCTTTCACTTCGTCACTATATTTTGATCAAAACTTGTGTTGCTTCCGGATTACAAACAATTATGCGTACCGAAAAGGGTCTCATTGGCGGAGCTGATAGAGAGAAGATACCCAGCTTACCATTTTTTAATATTGGAATAGAGACCGCAAAGAGCTTCAGAACAACAGCAGGCAGAGCAGCACGACCATTTTCCCCACGATATATCTATCTGAAAAACATCTCTTGAATTTCTGCTCTGCTGATGTGTGATTAACTACCATCGTCGACCCAAAAAAAAGTGGACAAAGATGACTGAGGAGCTTAAAGTGTTGTTGCAACAGATCCTGAAGCTAGCAGAACTTTCCATCTCTCCAGTACAGAGTCCAAGTGGACAACCTCGAGGTTCTATATTACTCTTTTTCAGGTTCGAATATCATATTCCTGAATAAGCTCTGACAGGGTCGATTTGACGCGAGCAAGTGTGTTGTTATAGAAACCACTCAATCTTCTCGAATGCTCCCCATCAACCCCTTCTCAGCTTGGGAGATCTCTTGAGCAGGCAGAGAAACTGGCTCGAATAGGATGATGGATCAGGGAGCCGCCTGAAAGGCTTTCAAAGGGCCGATTTTCAGATTCAAAATGGTTTAACAGAGGAACGTTATGAATGAGGCGACGTTGCGTTCCTTTGAGATGCGTTCACTCCTTTTTGGATAAATGCGGTCTTACGAAAAAGCTAGGCGGCGCTTAAAATCACATATCCCTGAAGGCATAGGCATGGTTATTTAGTACTCGGTCTCAGATGGTAGCAGGGGTGCTGTGGTGGAGAAACACCGAAAAATCGATCTGAAACAGTCAAAAACCTGCAAGTAAAAGTCTCTGTTCGACACGACTCAGAAACCAATCTCGGACGAGTTCCCGTTGGTATCAGGCCAATAACCGCTACGACTGCACGCACGTGCGCATATATCCGTGTAGCACCGCCATCCGCTTTATTTCAATACCTTCGCTCCATTGTACTCCGTAAATGGAGCGGTACGAGCATGAGCATCGGTTGGACAAGTGTGGGCGGGCGGGCGCAGTCGACGGGTCGGCCTGTTGCGATTCGATAGGGCGGGATAGGAGTACCTTCCTCGGAGAAGGTACTACGCAGCGCCTGTTCAGAGACGTTTAATTCCTCTATACTAGGCAGTAATCCTACATGTCTTGGGAATTTATCGCGCCACGTGCCATTTAGCCCAGTTGGGGGGGGCACGTGCGATAAGCAGTTGTCACTTCAGGTAGATAAGTTGGTAGCTAGTGCATAAGAGAGCATGGACGGCAGGAGAATCCTTGCACCTTTCATCTTTTCTGCCTTTTCGGCAACTGTCTACCGCTGCCATGCCTATAGTTGTGTTGATGGACTTTTCCTAACAAACGCCAGCGTGTGGACTGTAAGCATTTCTTAATCTTTGGTAATAGCGTTTTTCAATACGACATCGTTGGAAGAATCCCAACAGTGGGTCGTATTCGGTTGGCAGGCAGGAGGGCGTATCTGGCCTTGAGGAACAATTTACTCTAGCAACGGAAAACTTTTTCCGACTGCTGATTTTTTCTTCTGTCCCACTACGCCCTTTGAAGGCAGCTGGCACGATAAGAGACGTGCAGGATCAATACGCCTAATACACAGAATTCGACGCCCTTGAGCGAGCGCCACTTAGCGCCTGTTCCATGGAAGGCACCATTATAGTGCCCTATAAAACCAACCCAAACGCCTGCCGCGCCTGCCCGTCCACAAATGGACAACCGTACTTGATGCTGTATTGCTACATTTACTAAGTAAAATATGAAGCGAAAAAATTTGAATGTGAAGGCGCTATGGTGCTGCATGATATATGGGTACTTACATGCACCCGTTTCTCCTTCCTAGCGGTTACTGGCATGATCCTAACGGGGAACTTATCCGAATTGCTTTCTGGGTAGTGTAGAGCAAGGACTTTTTTGCAGATTTTCGACCGTTTTACTCACCATTTTCCCCATTATCTAGCACCCCTGCTACCATTTCAGACCGAGTACCGAATATCGTGTCTTATGCCTGTAAACACTGGATAGTGGCGTGCAATTACAAATCTATAGCGCTAAGTGACCCTCCAAGAAAGAAAAAAGCAGGAAGCATCATGGAGAATGCAATAAGTGGTGATCGCCTCCCTGGATGCTAATGCCATCTGACAACAAAAAAAACGATGTAGGAAGTTCGTGCAGAGAATAAACGTGTTCCAGTTTTTAGTGGGTGGAAAACTAAGGGTGGCTTCAGAAGATGCCGCGTTAAGGGAGGCCGCATTCGCCTCCCGTTACTTACTACGAAGCCGTCGTGAAAGGGGCATAATCCGAGAGACTGTGGAGCAGCCTCCTTGAAGAAGGAAGGACGCCTACGAAGTGGTTGAGCGCGGGGCTGCCTCCATAGGATGGGCGGAAAAGGAGCGTATCAGAATAGCAAATTCGACAGGAGGGGTCGTTCTGATACTGCCATTTCTGTTTCCATCTTGACACCATAGGTACACTCCTTGCCCCTGAGCCAGGGTAGGCGTGGCATTGAACATGGCACGGAACTGGTTACTCGTGGAATATTTCAGTGTGGACAACTGTCATCTTGTTCTGTGCTGGACAGAGACACGATAACAATTGTGTCAAGATGAAAATATCTCACCAGAAGCATAGACACCTTCAGGTTAAGTTGAAGAATGCAGCCACGCCTACCCGATCTCAGAAATTTCGAGTATAAGTGTCTACACTGTACCCTGCTACGAATGTACCTTCATGTTGAGCGCCTGGTAATTGTAGGGCAGAGCTGATGAAGCCGCCTGGTACTTCTCGTATTGTTCATAGCCGAGGTGATAGAGAACTAAAAACAGAAGAACGAGCGAATAATTCGGTACTTTTTGGTGAAATAGGTGAATAGAGGAAAAATCCTCACAGAAATCTTCGTCATCGCTGTTCATGAGGTAATCGATGTTGTAGATGAAGTCGAGACTCCGAACTTCGTTGTCCACAATCTGGTACAAAACGTATCGAATTGTTTGAGTTATTAAAGAAACAAAGGAGCAGACGCTGTGAGCAAAAACTTCCCTTGCGACTCCAAAACAATTGTGAAAAGCTTGCTTGAGGTCGTGGCTGATCGCGGTGACTCACCCCAGTATGCGATCCAGCCAAAGATGAGCGGCATCCCAGAGAGAATGTAATTGTAGTCTCGCTCGTATCTCGGCTTCACTCTGCACAGGATCAGCTGCAGAAAAGAGGGCCACACTATGTCTTCACGGTCGACAAGATCATCTAACAGTAGGTGATTCAGCGCCCGCAAATTAGGATTTGAGGCTCGTTGCCAACGGCTAGTCGTATCCTGCTGATTGCCCGGTTAGCCTGGCATGAGGAGCGACCGAGCGATGAACCCTCTACAGGCGAAGAGAAAACGTGGTCCTGCTGTTTGGGCAGTGAAATAATAAGGTCAGATCAGTGAACTGGAAAATTGGTAACTAGATGGATATCGAAGGGTTGTGGTACCTATCTATTCCTATGTACCTCTCCCAGAGAGGGTAACAGTCACTTATGTCTATCCCGATCACATCACCTTTTGTATTGATGAGCCACTACTCCTCTGGATGCAATACAAGGAACTTCATCGTTGAGGATCTCTCTGTGAGGGAGACTACGGTTGGCCTGGATGAATGTTTCATTGTTGATATTTGCCGTTCTGGGCGCCTCCTGTATCTCACTGGCTGGCCAGCTCACAGTTCAGGTGTTTCTTCCCACGTCGACAAACCCAGTCAGAAAACTTCGCCTAACTGGCCCTTCTCTCATCCATACGTTATCTTTGCTTATGGGCAGTTCGGCGACGGAGGCATTTTGCACTTTTGCTACTTCCCATCGATATGTCGACCCATTTAGGAAGCCATTTCGTGAGCTTACAGGTTTTATCCTGGTGGCTCAGCGAGCTTGCTCCAGCTTCACAAGAGTTTACAGGTCTCACCATTGTGAGACAGTGAATGTGAATCGAGAATCGTGAAACAGCGAAAGTGCAAAGTGCCCCCTCCCTGGCTCCGAACTACGCCTTTGCCTACCAGAAATTGGCGTAGGCACGAAACCAATATTATGAGCTAATTTTGTGTAAATTAATCCTTTATTTTTCAGCTATGCATAACTGCCCATGTCTAGTCTATAGGGACCCACCTGTGCGCACTTCAGCGTTAAACCACCGTAGAAGTGCTCACGTTTTTTGAACAGAATCTGCTTTGACGTTCCTTCAAGGCTGGTCTTGGCAATGCTCACCTGTAAAGTGAAGCTTCTTCGATAGAGGGGAATAGCGGAATAATTTTTGGACAGTTGGAATGATGCCTTTGTCTAACACAAATAAGATGACAGTCGTCTCGAACTGAAATAACCCATCCCGCGCCTTAAAAATGCCATGCCTACTGCGTCTTAGAGATGCGGTGTGCATGCATTCAACGTCGTTATCACTGAAGGCAGCTGTGCTGTGTTAACGACGCGTGCGTAATCAGGTAAAGGTTAGGGCCGGTGCGACCGTGACAACACCATTTCACTGCTGTATAAGACATCTAATCTGTACTTCAGCAGAGCCCATAGAAGGCAGAGCCTGCCGACCATTCGTCATCACAGATAGTTGACTAGGAGTTTGCATTTAGACGACTAGGTTCACCGACAAGATAGGAAGAGCGGT